ATGCTTTACTTGTTTTTATCTTTCATGAGATATCTAAACTTCTTATGTACTTCAGCAAGATTAGGATCCTTGATAAACTCAAGCATAACTGACATAAATGCAGCTTATATAGGGCACCTGCAGTAAAACTATAAGATAAAGAAAAACCTTTATCCCCTTTCACTCTCAAATGCAAAGCACTTAATGCAATATGCTCTCCATTAGTCCACTACTTTGACATGCTCATTGTGGCCATGCCATGGCATGCAATGATGGCAATGCCAAGGTGAAAGTGTCCATCCTTCACAACCAGATAGAAAAGCCAATAAGAACTCAAGTAACTTTAACACACATACAAGATCCTAGTTGAGTGGAGCACAAAATTTTGCAAGACTGGATAAAATGACACAAAAGAATGCTAGATCATTAATTCAAACAAAATATGCTGTTGCCATCCTAGTCCGTGTAATACATGCTACCACGCGAGAGTTCGAATCTCAGGCATTTGCGCTACCTAAAAAAGATTAAAATTCTCTGCCCTTTTTCTTGTCGTTTAGCTTGTCCACGTCATCACGCTCCTCCCGCGTGGGAACAACAGATCATTCTGGGTATATATGTTGTGATTAAACATCTCAGTCTTAGGGTTTTCGCAATGTCTGTCCCGCAGGTTGTGATCAGCATCGGCGCCACGGCCATTGCGGGCTACGGCATGTTCAAATTGGGCGGAGCGCTTGATCTCAAGGGCGCTGCGAAGAATCTCGAGGTGAAAGAAGCTCTGTCTGCTGGAGGAAAGTCACTGGGCGGTTCTGTCGGAGATGGGCTGGCATGCATCGGCGTTGGAATTGCCCTTGGTCTTGGAGCTGTTGCCATCGCGCTGGGCTATGGGCTGGGGAAGAAATGACCTCTTCTTCCTCCCCTCCTCCTTCCTCTTCCTCAAGCTCTTTCCCTTCCAGTGATGGAAGCAACGTGACACAGAGCTGTAGGGTTTTCCTTTCTCACTCCGATCTTCCAGGCTCCTCATGTTTTGATTCCTCCCGGGTGGAGCTCTTCTTGTAAAGAAATCGATTTTGTTTCCGTTTCCCAAGCTTCTCTCTGGATACTGATCTTGGAGCAAGCTGGTTGGAGTCGATCGGGCTCACATTTTCTCTTGCAGGAGCAAAGCTTTCCACTTTGCCAAAGATCAAACATTTGCTTTGGGAAAAAATCTCGCTAACATTTGCTTTGCTCTTGGACGAAAGCTAACACAAGAGCTCTTGGACAAGCCTACTGCCAAATGTTTGCCTGGAGAATCTGTCCCGGACGTGCGACCGCGCAGAGCTTCCCATGGACTTGGCGAGATTTGGATCCCTGACAAACTCGAGCATGGCCGACGCGAACGCCGCGGGCTTTGGGTCGCACAGGAAGCCAGTCTTGGCGTGCAGCACGCTCTCCATTGGTCCGCCGCTGCGACATGCTATCACTGGTTTTCCTGCGGCCATGGCCTCCAACGGGACAATGCCGAAGTGTTCATCCTTCACAGACACAGAGAAAAGCCGATAAAAAAACTCCAAGAGAAAGCAAAAGCTCGACTTACCGAAGGAGTGTAGATGACACACACGCAAGATCCCAGGAGTTCGTCCCTTGTTTGAGTGGAGCACGAGGGAAGAAAGAGGACGCGCTCGCTTATCCCGAGTTTGCGAGCGAGATCTTGCAAGTCGTCCAGAACTTCACAATTCTCTGTGACGCGTCTATCAAATCCTCCTGGATAAAACGACACTGTTAAGTAAAAGAGAAGGATGTGTAATTTCGCTATACCAGCCAAGACAAGCTTCACCTGAGTGTTCTCGATCTGGCTCAAGACAATGTCAAAAGCAGAGACTGCCAAAGACACATTCTTCTTTCTCTCGAACCGGTTGATGGAAAGGAAAAAAGGCCTGCAGCAAGACCAAGTTATTTCTAGAATCTAGAAAACAAAAGTCTTACGTTTCAGCGGGAAGTCCATCCACGTTTGCTTTCTCTGGCAGCGAAGCAAACTGTTCGACATCGACCGCCGGGTATAGAACTGACGGCCGCAAGCCTCGAGCGTGGAGCTTTCGAAATGTCCGTGCGAAGGTTGACGCAGTGAAATTACTGTTCACTAGGATCCGATCGGCCATTCCTGCATGGATACGTGTTTTCCAAAAGCCACAAGCTCAGAGCGAAGAAGACACGACTTTATACCAGTTGTTGTTTCTTCGAGCCAATCAATGGGCTTCCTGTACAATTTCTTGATTGTCGTCGTGTGTGGAGCCAGCAGCAAATCGGGAAAGTGGCAGTAAAAGACTATCTGTTGAGAAACTGGATAGAGGTCAGCGCAAAGGATTTTCTAGCACAGAACTTACCTTTGATCTCTTGATCTTGAGTATAGGAATCACTGCCGAGACTTGATCGACGAGGACGACGTCAAACTTTGGCCAGAACAAAACCATGCACACCGCAACAAAGACGCAGCGAATGTACGCACAGATCGCGTGGAGCTTGTTCCAGACGTTCCTTGGCAGAAAATCTCCATAGACTGTCACTGGAAAGCTCCCTTGAAAGAAAAGAAAAGAAATTCGTGGAGCGACCTTGGAGAAAAAAGCGAAGCTTTCGTCCTTACCATTCACAGTCTCCTCGAAACAGCGCCGGGGATCGTGATGCGCCGTGAAAACGCGGACGTCGTGACCATTGTTCTTGAGCTCCAGCGCCGCGTCGACGATCAGCCGCTCTGCTCCCCCTGAAAGCACACGCGAATTCACGCAATTCGGGCGAGCCGCTCACAAATCGCTGGAATTTCTCACCGATTCCTAGATCGGGATGGCAGATCGCGACGCTGAGCTTGCGCTTCCCCTCCATTCCCCTGCTCTGCTAAAACCCTAGAGCCCCGAGAATATCTTGAGAATATGCTAAAGCGTAGATCCTTTGAGTACGGAATTGTGTACGATTACCATTGCTGGATACAGCTGTCATGTATGCCATGCATGGCCATGCAAAGGTGTAGGGTTTAAGGGGGTTTTAGGGCATAGCGCTTTGTTTTTGGCATGGCATGGGCATTGGACGTGGCACCATGGATTAACTCCGCCTTACGGACGCGAACCATTGGGGTCCAATTTGCTTGAGCCAGCCCAAAGCCAGACAGGAAGAACAAGGGAAGAGCTTTGTTCTGTGCGTGAGAGCTGGGCGCGTGGATTCCTCGTTTCTCGTGCTCGATCGTCGCCATCGCTCGGGCTCTTTGCTTCGATTGCTGGAGGAGGATCAAGGCGGAGGCGCTGGCTAGAGCTGCATTCATCCCATGCCGCGAACGAGGGGGAGAATCGGCGGGAGTAGGGTTTGCTGACCGCGAGGTATGAGCAGCGCTGGAAGAAGAAGCTCTAGGTAGCAGCATGGGATTATGATGGATCCCCAGGCATTCGTCAAGGTCTCGATCGCGGCCCTAGGGCTGCGAATCCCGATCGCCTCCAAAGCAGCTCGCGTCGGCGTACATTCCTCCTCCATTCCCTGCTACTGCGAGATCAGCTTGCCGGGATTTCCTGTCCAGACGGCGCCAGTGCCGCTCATCACCGCGACAGCGCCAGAGCCGGATTCCAGGAACGTGGCGGCGGTGTTCTACTTGGATCACTCCAGCTTGAGGAAGCTACTGGCAGTCCACTGCTGCTTGGGCTCGAGGAAGGCGGCTCCTTGCTTGAAAGTGGTGGTCTTCACTGGAAGGCAGGGCTCGTGCTGTGGTGTGAGAGAAGGGAGTTTCTTGGGGAAGTTTAGCATTCCAGTCGACTCGGAGTGGCTTTCGGGGAATCCACTCCAGCTTTACGATTCGTGGGCGAGCATAGGAAAGAAAGGTGGAAGTCCTGGAGCGGAGTTTCATCTCAATGCCAGGATAGAGGCAGATCCTCGCTTCGTTTTCCAGTTTGACGGGGACACTGCTTCCGGCCCACAGATTATACAAATCCAGGGAAGCTTGAGGCAGCCCATCTTTAGTTGCAAGTTCAGCAGGGATCGAAGTTGCCGCGCTAGGTGAGAAGCTCTCTTCGAGTTTGTAGCTTGGCGATGGCTTTCTCACTGGCATTTCTTCTTTCTCTTTTTGCAGGCTAGGATTCACAGATACTCCAGCGAAGAGCTGGTCCACATCGCTAACAGGAGATAGAGAAAGAGAACGCAAGGAACGAAAGGGGTGGCTCGTGATGATCCACGACCTCTCGGGCTCTCCCGTGGCTGCGGCTTCGATCGTCACACCTTTCGTGCCGTCGTCGGGGTCCGACTACGTGAGCCGATCAAACCCAGGTGCGTGGCTCATCCTCCGCCCGGACTCCACCGGTGTCGATAGCTGGGAGCCGTGGGGGAGGCTGGAGGCCTGGAGGGAGAAAGGTGGCAAGGGTGGTCTCGGGCTGAGATTCCAGCTGGTTGCTGAAGGTGGTGGCATCACCAGCGTCGGGAGTGGGATCCTGGTGTCCGAGACGGTGATCAGCACACAGAGTGGCGGAGAGTTCTCGATCGACACGGTCAGGCTGCGGGTGGAAGCGGCATCCTCGTCGTCTTCAACGGAGAGTCCTCACAGCAGCGGGGATGGCTTCCTGGGGCTGGGCTTCCAAGTCGCGGGTGGATTCGTGATGAGCTGCCCCGTCCACGGCGAGAGGAACAAGACGAACAAAGGCCGCTGCATCCAGATGGCTGTGAGGCACGTAACTTGCGTGGAGGACGCGGCGGTGTTCATGGCTCTCGCGGCGGCGGCGGACTTGAGCATGGATGCGTGCCAGCCATTCTCGAGGAAGCTGAGGAGAGAGCTTTGCTACCAGCAGGGCGAGTGAGATGATCGATCTATCATCGATCGAGAGAGACGAGGACGAGATGATCCGAGACAATGGTGATCGCGAGACGAGACGAGGACGAGACGAGACGAGAGGAGAGAGACGATGGCCAATTTTCTCCCGCGAAAGTTTATATGTTTAATTGCTAGAGATTAATTAAAGGAAGGGGTTTAGTTTAAGGAATGGTTTTAGGGCAAGGTTGCTATAAATAATAGATTGGGGCTAATTTAGTGGTCAGTGTGGCTATAAACGTTTAAACCTCGCGAGAGAGGGACGAAGGCGCGGGACGATATTGCGAGCCCTAGATGTCGCAGCGATCAGGTCAGCGATTCTCCGCTCTTGTTTTCTCTAGATCCAACGCGCCGCGCAATGCCAGGCCATGGACGACAATCGATGCCTGTGGAAGAAGGACTGGCCGGAAGAATCCCAACTTAACGTCTCCTATCTGCTGTGAGATCGATTGCGCTGTGCCGGGAGCGATGGTTTTGATCGAGATCTTGCTGTTGCAGATATTCCGCGATGAAGGATCGGGATCCTGAGCCAGTGGACCAGGAATCGCTCAAGAAGTTTTGCCAGGCTATGGAGAGGGTGACATTCGCAAGCTCCGACACACTGGTAAGCGTGGATGATTTAGCTGAGAAAGAAAGGAGAGTTCCTTTTCTTTGTTCTTGAGAGACTGAAATTTTTCTCTCTAAGAACTCTAGTTCGTGTTTCCTTTCTCCAGGAAGATTACATCGCCAACATTGCGTGCTTGATCGAAGGGAAGTGCCACCAACGAATCGGCCCCGAAGAGAAAGATTACCTCAAGCTCGTCACAGAGGAGATCCTCGAAACCATGTCGTCATCGCCTTCGCAATCACAACGGCGAGAAGACCATCCAACTGCGGCTGTAGCTCTTGGCGGTACGTTATCTTTCTTCCAAAGCTGTGTAAATCTTTGTTCCATGCAGAGGATGAAGCAGCACGAGCAGCCAGCACCAGCGAGACCACGATACCGGAGCTCGATCTCACTGATATCCCCGACTTTGTAAATTCAACTGCTAACCTCGACGACATTGAAATGACTCTGGACAGCATGCCGGATGATTTACACTTGCTCGACGATACCAATATGATATAATCAATCGATTGAGTCCTTCCTTCTGTAACACCATACTCCTCGATATCACGACGATTTTGTATAGAATTTTCAGAGTGTCACTATAAAAGCAAAACACCATCATATAACTTTTGCGAAATAAATCAAACGAACTTTAGCTTACATGTTCTTCTTGTAGAGATTGTTCTTCCGGGCCTGACACAATTGGGCAAGCAGCGGCTGGTTCTTCCAGAAAGCATGGAGCAAATCGCTCAATCAAAAGTTCCAGCTTCTTCTCGAAAGGCCAGTGCCACTTATGTCCCAAGTGTACACGCATTTCGTGCCATCGCTTGAGACATATCTCTCCTGACCTGCATTGGACAAAGACTATAAAATACATGGTAGAAAAGAAAGAAAGCCATGCCTTCCGGACAATAGATTATCCCAGTCGATGGACTCTTCATCTGGCGCACCGGACTCGAGCATTCTGCGTAAACGACCGACACCACGAGTTAAAAACTACCAGGGAAAAAAGAAAACTCTGTCAAGTACCTCCGTAGAAGAAGATGGTCGTCGCCAGTTCCCCACTCCTTGGTTTTAACCATAGGAGAACACAAATCCCGGTACCTATGGAAGACAATGGCAAAGTTAGCAAGATCAAAAGGAGGCTTTCATAGCTCTTCTTTACCAGAGAACTCGGTAGTGACTCTCTGGACGACCGGGTAGCTTTGCGGCAATCGAACGCCAAGGGATGTCTTCCTCTCTATGCCTTGGAACATTTAGCCGCGCATACTCGGCCAAAACGTTGTGGACTGTCGAAGTCACCTTGGCGATTTCCTCGCTTGAATACTTGCCTGTAAAAAAAAAAACACCCGGCTTGCTTGCTATCTTAACCAAGAAAGATCGTTACCTCTCTTCTGCAAAGCATTGACATAGTAATACTTTGTTGCAACAGCGCGCTTATTCCTCCCAAGAAGCTTCGATATCAGCGTCCACCTTTTGCCATGCGTCAGAACAAGGCTGCCACACCAAAGCAAAAACTTCTTATAAAAATATATACACCACAGCGCATACCTTTGGAGCCGTTCCACTTCCTCTGGTGGCCATATCCCTTTCTGGCCGAAAATGTCCAAGACAGATTCTGCTCGATATTTTACAGAGATTGGGTTTCTCTCCGGAAGGCAAGCCACTGCCACAAAGTAGAGAATATTAGGATGTGAGCCACAACAATACAGTGTCTATTACCAAGCGCTTTCGAAAGCTCTCGCCCAAGTCGACGCTGCTCTGGAGTTTCTCGGTCCAGATAAAGTTTGTATGTTTCATGCAGGTCCAACCCCTTGGTCTGCGCAAGAAAAAAAGCAAAAGGAAAGAGTCAGCTTTACGAGTGAAGGCTAAAGTGCGTACCTCTGCAAACTGACGAACTGCTTGTCTTATCGCCTCGTCCTCTTCCTCGGTAAACTTCTTATTGTATAGGGGATCTTTCAATCTCCGCTCGCACAGAGGCCTCTCGTTCGGGACTGTCGGTTGTAACTCCACTCCACCGAAATGGACTTTCTTCTCTGTAGCGGCCTCGTTTAAAACCACCGCAGCACCGAAAGAGACCTTCTTCTTTATCTTCTCGTTTCGAATCGTAGACTCAGCATGGTTTCCCAAGTTCTTCGTACAAGTATGGAGATCGCCGCCTGTCTCGACGGAAACTGGTCTCTCAGCCTTCTTAGTTTTCTCTTTACGCTGTTTGTCACTACTGCCACGCTCGTCTTCACGCTGCTTGAGCTTGTTATCATCCTGACTTTCTGCCACCTCTAGTTTCTTCTTCCGCTTCTTTTTCTCGTCACAAGCAGCGGAGTTATTCTCTTGCTCCTCAGCCACGTCCACTGCATCAACTTTCTTTTTCTTCTTCTTCCTCTCCGGTTCTTGGTGTTCTTGATCATCGTCAGCTTCAGGACTCTCGGCATCGTCAAGCGCGGCTGCGTGTTTGTCTTTCTTCCTCTTCCTCTTGGAAGGAACTGGATCAACGTTGGCAGTAGCATTCTCCTGCCTAGATTCTTTCCTCCTCTGTTGATCGTCACTGCTTACTTTCCGATCGGCCGTATCATCACTTGCTATCCTCTTCCCTCGCTTCTTCTTCTCTAACTTCTTATTCTTCTCCGATTGGAGAGGAACTTTAGTACTGTCCTCTCGGATCTCGCTCTGGTCACAAACAGTGGGCTGATTCTCTTGTTCCTCCACATTTATTCCTTGCACGTTCTTCTTTTTTTTCTTCTTCTTCTTATCCTCCTTTGCAATCCTTTCAACGTCAACTCCAGCATCTTCCTTGTGCTTTGTGCTCTTGGAAGAAATTTGATCGGCTCCACTGCTGCCACCTTCTCGATCACCATCTCCGGCATTCTTCTTTCGCGTCTTCTCGTGACCATCTAGCTTCTTTTTCCCGTCCGAAATCTTCTCTTCCACTAAATCCTTGTCTTCGTGCTTTCGCTTTCGCTTCTTTTTCTCGTGGCCGGCTTCCTCTTCCACTTCCTCCCGTTCCTTTTCACCCTCAAAATCCTCGTTTTTGGATTCTTCTGGAGCTGGATGCTTGGATTTTCTCCTGCTCTTCTTCTCTTTACCCTCTGCGATCTCTACCCCTGCGTCCTCGTCACTCTTGCGATTCACACCAGCATTCTTCCCCGTCAGCTCACCTGTGCGATCGCAATCCTCCACAGTTCCATCGCCCTTCTCCTCGATCGGATCCTTCGCGCGCTTCCTCTTGCGCTCGCCCATCCCGGCCAAATTGACCTAAAACCCCGTCATCTAAACAGTATAGAGATTTGGACGGCAAGGATTCTCCGGCCCCAGTTTTGGACGCCTACGCAACCCCATTCGTCTCGCGTGGCGCTCTGTCAGCCATCCAAATCCCAAACGGCCGGCCATGATTTTGCAAAATGGTGCGCGCCTGGCCGTCAGATGCGCAGTTTGCGAACCACATCTGGGCCGTCGCGGTTTCGCAACGGACGGCACGGATTTCTCGAGAGATGGGTATTCGTCTTCCCTAAGTGAAAGTGAATGGCTATGGAGGAGGAAGCTTGCATCCGCTGCTCCACGATACGATAGCGGCGGGGCGAGGAAAGAGGGGAAATAAAAGCTTCTCGGTGTTTCTGCCATGGCCATCGCGGATTATCTGTCTTGGGCGGCGGCGGAGGTGAGAATTTTCGCGGCAATTGGCAGGAGTCGAGGCGATCGGCCAAGAGCATCGGGTGAGTTGGGCTCTCGATTCCACTCGCGCTTTGTTTCTTCCCCAATTTGCCAGTGGATTGGAATAGTTTTCCCAGCTAGTATCATCTGTTCTCGTGCATGATTTGTTTATGCGATCCATGCCAGGTTGAGCGATCGGCCTAGAAACTAGGAGGAGGAATCCAGAGAAAGCCAACAAACAAGGAGAAAAAAATGGGAGGTGCTTGCTCGAGAAAGAGAGACCAAAGGGAAGGAGACCTTGACGATGGCTATGGTGGCTCCGCGAGATTTAGTCGCAGCTTCTACTTTCGCTGGCCTTCCAGGAACTTTGAGAGGGATATTAGCGACGAGCAAGACAATGCAAACAAGGCTCCATCGCTCCTGGAGCTTGCAGTGCGAGAGACTTGTAAGGTAAGTTTGTGCAAAGTTTTCTATGGTTCTTCCATTGTTCTTGAGACTTTTCTTTCTTTCCTTGTCAACTCAAGAACACACAAGGTATCAAATCGTTTGAGAAGCTGCCGAGGGATTTAACGCAGAAGATCCTCAACGAGCTCGTCCAGACTCAAGCTCTTTCTCGAGAGCTCTTTCAAGCTTTCGAGGACTGTGCCATCCAGGTACGATCAAAGCCATACTTTAGAACTATCTCCATGAATGAAAACTTTGTGGTTTCCAGGACATTTATCTCGGCTACTATCCGGGTGTTGATGATAGCTGGATGGAAGTCATAGGCTCGCAGAAGTTTTGCTTGCTAGCGGTGGATTTTTCTGGTTCTATGGTTACGGACGAAGGCGTGCAGTGCCTTCAAATCTGTGAAAACGTAGAGATCATCTGCATGAACGAATGTAAATACATATCAGACATTTCTCTGAGCTACTTCACAGGTAAGTCTCTACTCGTCACTTGCTTCTAGTCTCGTTTCATTTGCTTTGTCATTGCGTAGGCTTCACGAATCTTACGTCGTTGAGCTTCCAAAAGAACAAACTTATAACTCCGGCTGGGATGAGACACTTGGCTGGTCTCCCAAACCTCAAGCACTTGGATTTGGAGCGATGTCCGAAGATTCACGACGGCCTTGTTTATATCAAAGGTAGTTCTTTTTACCCATCTCTCGTTGTTAGCTAGCTGCGAACTTCTCTTCTTTTGGTCTTTGGTATTTATGAACAGGACTCACAAAGCTGGAGAAACTAAATCTCGGATGGTGCAACTGTATCCGGAGCTCCGACATGAAGCAGCTTTCTGGTTTGCTTTGTTTTTCTTTTTTCAGGAGTAAACTGGGAGAGACTTTTACTTCTCGCAGGTTTAACCAACTTGCTGGAACTCCAAATCTCCCGAAGCAAAGTCAAGGACTTTGGAATCACCTTCTTGAAAGGTATTTGATCTTTTGCTTTTCTTTTTGGAGTTCTGTGATCGACCGCTTTCTTTCGCTGCAGATTTGAAGAAACTCGAAGTACTAAACATGGAAGGCTGCCCAGTGACTTTTGCCTGCATGGACACGATTGCTGGTACGTAATTTAATGGTTAAAAACCTTCAAGTCTTCCCATCTGCTGTGGATTTTTTCATCCTTTCAGGTTTGACTTCCTTGACAACTCTCAATCTCAAGTCCTGCTACATCTCAGATTTCGGCTGCCGAAAGCTCGAAGGTAGAGATACTACACACTTCTGCCGATCACGCTCTTTCTTGTTTTTCATATATCAGGCCTCGGAAACCTCAAGAACTTGAATCTGAGCTACACAAATGTGAGCGACGCTGGAATGGTGTACCTCAAAAGTATGAAAAAAGATTGTCTCTTTCTTGTGTTTCGGACGTCTCATTCTTTCTTTTCTTTTTTCCTTGGTGCTTGCAGACCTCAAGAGTCTCCAGTTCCTAAACCTTGACTCGTGCAAGATCGGAGATCAAGGAGTACAGAACTTTAAAAGTATGCAATTTGTTTCTCGAATAACATCTTGCTGGATTGAATACAAAACTGCCTGTGGTTCTGTGCTGTGTGACTGCAGACCTTGTAAATCTCAAGAGCTTGGATCTTTCCGACTCGCTGATTGGGAACCATGCTCTCAACTTCCTCACGGGTAAACTTGTTTCCTCTCCTTTGTCACATTCTCACAGCGAAAAAATCTCTTTTTTCTTGTGTTTCCCAGGCCTCTCGAAGCTCGAGAGTCTAAATATCTCGTCCACAATGGTGACGGACATGGGCCTGCACAAGATCTCAGGCTTAACATCGCTCAAGTCTTTGAACATTGACTCACGACAGATTACTGACACCGGCCTCATGGCCCTCACAAGTAATAACTCTTCCTCTTTTCTCCACATTGATTTCTTCCTTTTCGTTCGCTCACTGTCTGTCGAGCGGAGAAGGAAGAAAACTCACAGCTTTTTCTTTCGCAGGCTTAACTAATCTTACGCACCTGGATCTGTTTAGCGCTCGCATCACGGACTATGGCATCGGCAGCCTTCGACGTACGTAATATAATCTTTTCGATCTCTTTCTTTTTTCTTTCGAGCTTTGTCTTCGCTGCCGTGTGTCGTCCCCTTGTGCCCAGATCTCGACAGGTCCTTAAAGTTTTTGGTTTTTTTGCTTTCTCTCTGGTGCGCAGATTTCAAGAAGCTACAGTCCCTGGAGGTCTGTGGTGGTGGAATAACAGACGTAGGTGTCAAGAGCTTAAAAGATCTGACAGATCTTACGTACTTGAACCTCTCGCAGAATGGTCAGCTGACTGACCAAGCCTTGGAGGCTCTCTCGGGTGCGTAGCTCTCGGTTCCTAGATTGCTAGATTGCTCCTTGTTTATGTTTCCTTGCAGGCTTGACGAAGCTCGTGTCGCTCAACGTCGGGAACTCGTCCGTGACGAATGCGGGGCTGCAGCACTTGCTGCCGCTCAAGAATCTCACGTCGCTGGCGCTCCAGTCGTGCAAGGTGACGCTGTGGGCGATCCAGAAGCTGCAAGCATCGTCGCTCCCCAATCTGGTGATCGTCCGACTGCGGTGAAATGAAATCATCCACCCTGCGATGAATCGATCGGAGCACGAAGAACACGAAGAAGAAAACTCGCTGTAAATAAGTACGTTTGCAACTCAAGCTGTAGATACACACAATGGAAAGAAAGAATTCGTTTGCGCAAATCCTGGCCGTTGAATGCTATCGTTTAAACAAATCCTGGTCGTTGGTTGCCAACTGTCAGATGGTGTCGCGTGGCCCCTGCTGTTTAGGGCTTCTAGCAATGGTGATTGTTTTCTTCTTTTCCTTGCCTGTCTCGCACTGGGCAGTGCGCCACAGTTCTCTCAATCTTGACCCAGTCTCTCTCACGCCCAAGAACCCTAAAAAACTGGGCGACAATGCGGAGAATTAGGGTTTCTGGGGAGTGAGCGTTGATGGGTCGCTTTCTGCTGAGATTCTCACTCCATGCGCGGTCATTTATGCCAGCCCCACACACTCACGAGTCAGGCCTGCCTCTTTTGAGGACCCACAAAGACAAGCAAACACCACAGAGGAGAGAGGAGAGAGGAAAGAGAGTGGCTTTCTTTCTTTTAGGGTGTAATATTATACCTTAGCTCCCATGAAATCATACAACACAGTCATGCAAACAATTGAATGCCAGGAATTTATTGACTGCTTTTGTCTATAGTACAACACCCGCCCAAAGTATGATAGGAAACATGGCATTCCTCCGTCTTTTCTTGCCTTTAGATATTTTTAATTTTCTTTTCTTTTCGTTTTTCTATAAATTTTTTTTGTATTTTCTGGAGAGGAAGCGAGAACTCTGCTGCCGCTGTTGATGTTACAAACACCATACTATTAAATGCGTGCGGCCAAGAGCGCTACCAAATCTTCAACTGAAGTTTTTGTTTCAAGTCAGTGCGAGCATAAGAAAAGGTGGCGGTGGTTAGACTCGTGATTAAATGCGTGCTTTAGCGTAAGCCACACGTACGCGCCGTAGATCCTCCGGATCACCAAACCATGCCACTCACTCATTTCACTTTACTTTGAACAAAAAGATCCAGCCAACAGCAAACAAAATTCGTCCTCCGGGTAGAAACCCTAGAAATCTACGCTAGGAACTGAAGATGCCTACACACATTTCCATACAAAAGTTGGTGGGGCATGTACCGTGACGTACCAGTGCGCGTCTTGCCCTAATTTAATAACACCAAATGATTGGAGCCCCTTAAGGCCCTTGCAATTTGCCCTTTCTGGGCATTTTGTTCCTTCTAATAGTTTAGTTCTCTCTCTCTCTCCTCTTCTCTCTTCTCTCTTCTCTCCTCATTGATCGGCTGCGGCACCCTAGCGACCTGCCTCGCTAGATTCTTTCGCTCGCGCGCGGGATTGATTGCCAATGACGTCCATCGCCGCTCCATCATCGCCCCCGGCCGCGCGAGCCGCCGAATCCCCTACTTCTCCGGCCGAGCAAATCGATCCACCAGAGTAGTGGGGTGATTCTAGAAGAGAGGGCAATGGAATGGGATCGTGGTCGCCGGCGGACGAAGAATCGCGCAGAACCCACTTGAGAGTGGAGCGAATCTCGACTTGGGTCGCGCGAATCTTCCCGATCCATCCCTGTTTCGAGCTCCTGGGCCACTAATCTTGCCTCGCAAAGCAATGCCTCCTCTCGCAATCGCAATTCCTCCTCTCTATCTCTAGATCGCTCACAAGCAAAGGGGAATCTCTCGAGCTATGGACGCCTACGAAGCCACCCAGCTCGTCTTCGCGCGCGTCCAGGCCCAGGATCCAGAGAACGTCTCCAAGATCATCGGCTTGATGCTACTCCAGGACAGGAGCGAGCAAGAAATGGCGAGGCTGGCTCTGGGCTCCGACGCTCTCCTCCAATCCGCCATAGCGAAAGCAAGAAGAGAGCTTGGGCTATTCGCCGCGAATCCCCATCCTGGCCTCTCAGATCAACACCATCACCACCGACAACACTACCACCAGCAGAGAATCAATCGCCCAAGTCTCCTCTTCATCCCAGAGGGAGGCACAGTATCCTCGTCTCCCAGCAATCTCTTCCAGCCCACCCCCAGCCCCGACGAATTCGCCACCGACCAATGGCTCCTGAATCACAACCACCAGTTCCAGCTCCACCAAGATCCCCTCCTCAAGAACACGTCGCGATTCTCCACCTCTTCCTCGCCAGCAGCAGATGCCCAGAGGAGGCATTTGCAGCAGCTCCAGTTTCCAGCCTCGCACTATCCCTCCTCGCACGATCTGGCGATGGCGCTCACTTGCAAGCCCTGCCTCTACTACTCCAAAGGCCACTGCAAGCGCGGGACTAGCTGCCGGTTTCTTCATGGCACCGGATCTAGCGCGACCGTCACCGGCAATGGCAGCAACGGATCCATCCCCTCTCCCGGCGGCTGTAGCCAGTGTTCTTCGCCAGCTCCATCTTTTGACGATTTGCTGGGATGCTCGCCGAATTCCTCCTCGCCCAGCAGTCCATCGTCGGGATCTCTCGAGCGGCTGGAGATGGAGCTCCAGGAGCTGCTGCGAGGGCGGAGGACGCCAGTGTCGATCGCGTCGCTGCCCCAGCTCTACTTCGAGAAGTTTGGGAGGGCGCTGCAAGCACAGGGCTATCTCACCGAGAGCCAGCGCCATGGCAAAGCTGGATGTAGCCTCACCAAGCTCCTCGCGCGGCTCAAAGGGAGCGTAGCTCTCATCGACAGGTAAACACGTCAAAAATCCATTTTTTTCTGCTCGATCTGGATCCACCCTTGCATTGTTCTTCGATCTTTGATCTTGTCTGCTGGTTTGGTTCTCTTCTCTTCCCATTGTTTTCTCGTTGGTTGCTGGGATTTCTCCATTGTTCCTGGGATTCTTTTGGTGGTAACTAAGTAAATGGTTGGTTTCTTTTTTCTTTTCCTGCGAAGACCCCACGGCCAGCATGCAGTAGTTCTTGCGGAAGACGCGCAGAGATTCGTGGGGTATAGAGCCGATCGCGACGATCTCAAGGACGTGAATCCCAGCTCTAGGCAAATCTACCTCACTTTCCCGGCCGAGAGCACCTTCACGGAGGACGATGTTTCAGCACACTTCAGGTAGATCAATTCTAGTGTTTTTCTTTCTTTTCTTGCTCTCTAAACGAAGTTTTTGTGTAGATCTTATGGTCCAGTCCAGGATGTTCGAATTCCATACCAGCAGAAGCGAATGTTTGGATTCGTCACCTTCATCTATCCCGAGACTGTCAAGGCGATACTGTCCGAAGGGAATCCTCACTATATCTGCGGTGCTCGTGTTCTCGTCAAGCCATATCGCGAGAAAGCTAAGCTCGGTGAAAGGTAAGAGAGCTCTCTCTCTCTTTTCCTACGTTCCTCGTTCTGACGTAGCAAAATTTCTACCAGAAAGCAAGCCGAGAAGATCGATCCGCTACGCTTGCAGCTTCGCGGCTTGGGTGGCAAAGACTTCATGCAAGGTAATACATGTTCTTTGAGATCGATCGAGTTTACCAAAGGCTGTGTGCTCCAGATCCGAGCTTCTACGATGTTCTTGCGAGGCGATTCGAGGAGGAGCGATACCTGGAGTTGGAACGAAGACGAGTCATGGATTTCCATTCGCTCCGAGCCCGTGCTGCCGAGGTAGAGGCTGCGGAGGCTGTGACAACCGCAAAGTTACTACTGCTCGACGAGCAAGAGAGGAAGCTAAACAGCACCGCTTCCACGACCAACCTCAATGGAGTTCACGTTAGCTTGGACTCCCCCGAGGTTCCTGGAACTCCACGAATCATGGAGCACAACAACAGTGGCAGTAGCAGTAGCAGCAGCTATGGGAATGGGATGAACGAAGCCGTGCTAACACTGGAAGGTTGGAATTTGTTTTGTTTGGATCTTCTCTGGCGCTAAGTTTTCGAAATGATCGAGCAGATATGCAGCAGTTCCAGTCGAGCAATCCCTTCGGATTCGTCATGGACGTGCTGGAGGGTGAAGGTGGCGATGAGAGTGAAGCTCTTCATCCACTTCCCGATGATGCTACGCACAAATACGACGAAGATCTTGTGACGTAAGTCACAGTCATATGATAGAACTTGATTACTCACTTTGGAAACTTCTAGCAGCGCCGATGGGAATGGACACAACCTACCCGAGAGTCCATTCGCCAGCCCGCATCACAGCGAGAACTCTTCCAACTCGCACATACCGGAAGAACACCACGATCAACCTCCATCTCTGTCAATCGAAGAGAAGATGATGGGGCTGGATCTCAACGAAGTTTTCAACCTCGCACCGCCGTCCAACGACATCATTTGCTGCATTTGTCTCAGTAAGTCCCACTCTCACAAATTGTTGTAACAATCCAAGCTTACTTCGTTTCTTCCTGTTCTTCGTCCAGAGCACTGCGTAGAGCCATCCAAACTGGAATGCAGCCATACCTTTTGCGTGCAGTGTATCCTGAAGGTAAAAATCTCTCTTTTCTCTCTCGACTTTAAGCTTTGCTCATCGTTCTCTTCATTTTTTCCAGGTTATCAAAGGATCAAAGGATGAATGTCCAATCTGCCGACAACACATAGGCAGCCAAGTATACAAAATCTTACAAAACAGGGATTTACAGTCCTGGCTCTCCCCCACAGCACTAAGTCACAGAATCCCGCAACACATATGGTAGGAAGAACAGCAACAAAACAGCGAAAAGAAGAAAATTTACCAACACCACAACACAGCAAAACAAGAAAGATCACAGCAACAACGGGGTTTGAGTCCTTTCAATCAATCAATCAATCGAAAGCACCAACACAACTTGACCGATGAGAGAACTTTACAGCAACAAATACACCAGAAAGTTTTTCTTTTTTCTTCTTACGAGGCTCATCTCATACTTTCTAGCTAAATAACACAACTCGATCATACACAGGACGACACAACCAGATAAATCTCTTTTTCTTCTCTTTATATATGATGGGAGAGGCCCAATCTTTCGAAAAAAATCAATATACGAGACTATATGGTGCAAGAGATTGCGCTTTGTGACGTTGAGAGTTTTAATGGAGCCGGTTTCTTTTGGCGATGCTGGAAACCAATGTGTGGATCGTCCACTTCCAAAACACCAGGACCTTTGGCACTATGGAAAAGATCGCTATCACGAAGAACTATATAATCTTTGATAGAGTGACACCCGGGATCATATAATAATAACAGTTCCATTCCATGATCTCACTCCAAAAGTGTTGTGTCAAGGCAACAGCCTTCCCCTTGTTCGCTTGTCCAAGTTGAAAGTTTTGTGTGTCCCGCATTACATGAGACACGGACTTCACTTGGCATGTGAAACATCACATTGGTTGTCGCCTTTAAACAAAACAAAAAAAAAGAAGAAAATCGCAACTTTTTTACAAATATAATAGTATATTTGTTCCTTTGTATTATAATAATGAGAATCAAATAATTTTTTTCGTGGATCTACTCGAAAACGTGGATCTTAAAAGTGGATTCGTCCACCACCTCAAGAACAAGCGCATCCCCGACTTTAATCTTCTCAGCCCTTGCAAAGCCTCTCCATCCACCGCTCACGACATGCCTGGCAGCCAGCCACCGCGCCGGGAACCTCTCGTCCCTGGAATTCACGAGCATCACAGCGGTATCGACCTTGGGCATGAAAGCCTCCGAGAATTGCTTGTGCACAATCTGCAAGATCACAACAAAGTTTCTTAAGAGCAAGAGATGGCGTGGCGGAAGAACAACGCTAACCAGGTAGTAAGTTGGATCGAGTGTACTCTTTGTGGTCGCCAAGAGAACGCTCGGATTGGAGCACTCGAATTTAGAGGCTGCTGCGATTGCCGATTCGGAGGAAACGGTGCGGCTGGAGCAGCTGAGGGTCACCTTGATGAGCTTCTTGGCTGTGGATTTCTCGCTGCCCACTGTCGTCTTTGCTCGCTTCTTGAGAGGAACTTCCGGATGATCCATGCTTCTCTTGAGGATGTTGCCATTATCAATTATCTCGTGATAGTCATCAGCAGTGATTCTATCCCTGGTTTCCTGCTTACAATTATTGCCACTGTTAACTTCGCTTCCGAAAGGATTGTTTGCCTTGGCAATGTCACAGGACTGGGATTTCTTTCTCTCGCATCCATCTCCGCCGTAGATGGTCACCAGAACATTGGACGGCTGGATGCGCTTCATCACCACAACATCGTCCAAGGATAGCTCGTTGTCCAGGCAAAAAGATCTCCATCCCTTGTCCAGCAGGAAATCGCCCGAGTCCTCCCGGATCGCCACGCTCCACGACGATCCGCTGGAAGTCGCGAGCGTCAAATTCGCGGGCACCACGCCATCTCCATCGAGAAACCCTTCCGGAACCACCTGTTTGATCAATCAAGATCAATCGATCCAGAACTGTAGCGAGAGATGTAGATCGCTTACGCAAGTGTGTAGATTCTCCTTCGCCTTGATGGCCTTGCAGAAAGTAGCCATTCTTTCTTCCAGAAAGAAAGGCTGCGTTACCCAATTTGTTTTAGGGTTCTTGCCAGTCTCTTCTTCTTCCTCTCGCTGGAAAGATTCGCGAGGATCAAATACGGCGCGGCGCTGCTAGGATCGATCCCCGCCACGCGCTCCGCCACCCTCGCGCCACGCTCCCGATCCCTGTGCACATCGCAAGCGCCCAGCAAGCTCACGAGCTCCACAAGATTGGGCTCGTAAGGCATGCTCTCGATCAGCTCCTCCGCCTCCGCCAGCAGCCCAATCTTCCCCAGCACATCGATCATCCGGCAGTAGTGCTCGCGCAGAGGCGCCACACCGCAATCGCTCTCCATCCGCGAGAGGTAGCGGCATCCATGGCTGAGCAATCCAATGTGGCCACACGCGGTGATGACGCTCATCAATCCGGCCTCGTCTGGCTTGAATCCCTCCAGCTCCATCTCCTGGAATGCGATCACGGCCTCGCGGCGGTGGCCCGAGTGGGCGTAGGCGGTGACTAGGGCATTCCAGGAGAGAACGCTGCGCTGGGGCATCCTCTCGAAGAGATCTCTCGCCTCGCGGATATGCCCGTTCTGGGCATATGCCACCACCACCGCGTTCCAGGACACGTGGCTCTTTCGACGGATACGATCGAACGCCAGCTTGGCCTCCGCCAGGCAGTGGTTGCTACCATAGCCCGACACCATTACGGTCTGGGATACAGTGGTGGACTCCTCCGCTTCCGCTGTAGCTCCGCTATCTCCGCCGCTTCTACCGCCATTACCACCAAGCGTCGCGTAGAGCGACTCGGCACTGGAGAGATAGCCCTGCTGGGCGTAAGCGGCGATGAGGGCGTTGGCGGAGGCGGCGCTGTGGCGGGGCATCTGGTCGTAGATGCTCTTAGCATCTTCCAGATGCCCATTCTGGGCATATGCTGCCACCATGGCGTTGAAGCTGACGAGGCTCCAGCGTGGCATGGCGTCGAATATTCGCTTGGCGTGTTCTAGCCGGCCGTGCTGGGCGTAGCCCGTGATCATCGCGTTCCAGGTGACAACGTCGCGCTGGGGGATCTCACCGAAGAGTTTCTCCGCAAGGGAGAGATTCCCACCGTGCTGCGAGAGCCCCGCGATCATGGCGTTCCAGGAGATCGCGTCGTGGCGCGGCATTGAATCGAACAGGTGCTGCGCTCGATCCAGATCCCCCTGCTGCGTGTAGATCGCGAGGATCGAGTTGCAAGACACCACGTCTCGCTCGGGCATCGCATCGAACAGCCGCTGGGCTTCATCGTGATCGCCGCTCAGTGAGAATGCCGAGATCATCGAGTTCCACGACACGAGATCGCGCTGCTTCATCTTGTGATCGAAGATGGTCTTCGCCTCATCGATGCGATCGTTGTCGCCGTAGGCCACCAGGATCGTGTTCCAGAGCGCGGTGCTCACCAGAGGAGTGGAATCGAAGATAGCTTGCGCTCGATCGACGTTCCCAAGCTCGCTGTGAGCGGAGATCAGAGCATTCACAGACACGAGATCTCGCTCAGGCATCTCGAGAAAGAGCTTCTCCGCCTCCTCGATCGATCCATTGTGAGCAAATCCCGCAATGAGAGTGTTCCACGACACTAGATTCTTCTCTAGCATCGTGTCGAAGATCTCTCTCGCTTTTTCCAGATGCCCGGATTGAGCATTTGCGTGAATCATAGCAGTCCACGTAACTACATTCCATCTGGGCATTCTTGCGAAAACATTCTCGGCATCTATCAAACTATCGTTTTGGGCATACGCTTGTAACATTGCGGTCCAAGAGATCACATCTCTCTCGGGCATGGTATCAAAGAGAAGCTTCGATTCCTGAAAATGCCCGTTCTGGGCATATGCTGTGAGCATCGCGTTCCAGCAAACGAGATTCTTGGGCAAGGCACGATCAAAAACCAGCTTAGCGGAATCCACGTCGCCCTCTTGGCCATAGGCGACGATCATGATCGTTGCCGCAACAGCGTTTTTGAGCGGCATCCCCGCGAAGAAATCAATTGCCCGAGCGAGATCCCCATTCTGGGCATAAGCAGCGAGCATGATCGTCCAGGAGAAGAGATTGGGGGATTGGATGGAGTCGAAGATCTTGCGCGCCTCTTCGATGCTGCCACACACGGCATACATTTTGGTGGTCATGTTGAGGAGGTATGTGTTGGTGGCATGGTTGCTGTGGAGAATTTGCGCGTGGATTTGCCGGCCCTTGATCAAGTCTCGCGACTGAGCGCAAGCATTGAGCAGTGCCGCCAGATCATCCTGCTCCTTCCTTGCCACCCCAAACATTGGTGGGGCATTTCTAGAACTAATGACAGAATCTTAGCCGCATCTTAAACTTCTTTGAATGAATGAGTGAAGATCTTCTTTACAAGGCAAGGCTCTCCACGAATTTCTTGAGGTTCGCATGAGAAGGACCTCCGGGAGAAGCAGCCTTGACAGCCAATGCTCGAATCTCCATCGCCCTGGCTTTCAATCTCCTGCCTTGCTCTCCCTCCATGATCGCCCTCACTTTCTCTTCCACCTCTTCTCTCGGCGCAAATCCATCCTTCCCTCCAGATCTCGAGAATGCTATTCCCGTGCCCTCGCCTTCCAGCACCAGCTTGGCATTCGTGTTTTGCTCAAACATAGATGGCCACCCCAGCATTGGCACTCCACACGCCAAGCTCTCGAGCATGGAGTTCCATCCGCAGTGAGTGAGAAAAGCCCCTGTTGATTCGTGCTGCAAGATCTCTAGCTGCGGCGCCCAGCTCACGAACAATCCTCTCCCGCCAGTCCTGCTCATGAAACCTTTGTAGAACTCCTCGTCCATGCCAAGAATCGAGTTTGATCGTATCACCCAGAGGAAAGGAACATTGCTTGCCTCCAATCCCAGCGCGATCTCCTCGAATTGCTTGGCAGTCATGAAGGAGAGGCTTCCAAACGAAACATAGAGGACCGAGCCACGATCACGCTCGTCTAGCCATGGAAGACAAGATTCATCCGGAGTTCTCAGGTTTACCTCTTGCAATCCAGTCGAATCGATCGCCTCTCCCTTGAGAGGAAACAATGGTCCAACCGGCACGAAATTCTCCCCGAATCCTTCCCTCATCGCTTCGAAAATTCGCGGCTCGATGTCGTGGACAGAGTTTATCAGAAACCAAGAATCCAGTGTGATCCTCTTGGAGCGATACAGTGATTGTTCTTCCCCGACTTTCTGGAATTCTCCGTCGTGCATGAAGAGTGGAATGTCTTGCGATCTTAGCTCCATTCCAGGGATGTAAGAAATCAGCTTTTCATCTCCCGCTGGCACCATAGAAATCCCAAGTTTTCTTAGAACACACTTCTAGATCAATCAAAGCTTCACCTTTGACAGGAACGTCTCCCATCTCCAGGAGCTTTGGAACGTGGAATTCGATGGCAACCCAAGCAGCGTTTCCCGGCCAAAAGCTCGCTCCAGCCAATCCAGCCTTCTTTGCAGCGTGTGGAGAACTGAGATGGTAAAAGTCCGAGACGACACACGCGACTCTGGGGCTGTCTCGATCGATCCGGGACAAGAGCTCCGCGAGTGGATCCTCCATTCGGAAGATGGCCTGGGAGAAGGCGGCCTGCGCGTCGAAGCCATTGGGAACTCGCATGTCCATAGAGATGGACTCGAGGCGAATGTCGTGGCCATTACTCACAGGATTGTCCTCGCTCTTCCAGGACTGCTGCAAGGTTTCGTGGATGCTATCAACGTTGATGATGGTCACAGTGACTCCGAGGAGCGCCAGCTTGCGGGCGAGATAGATGATTGGAATGACATGTCCCTGTGCTGGAAGTGGGATAAGAACAAACGTGAAGTTTCTCGTGAGAGCCCATGGATGATGATTAGACCAAGAAACAAAGAAGAAACTTTTCAAAGAGGAAGTTTTGATGGATCGTTTGAAATACCAGCACTTATGGGCTGAATTGGACATTGTTCTTTCCTCTACGTCTTGTCTTTCGCTAATAATTGTATGATTGGCAATAGAAACCATACAGTCCAACAGGTGGCCGTATTGTGGTAAAATTTAGTGGTGAGAATTCTATGTAGCAGACACGTATCCTTATCTTATCTGTCGCACGAAAACTTCCTACTCTAAATCAGACAAAGAGAAGAGACAAAGTTGAACTACTAAAGATTTATTTTATTTAAGATAGGTTTAAGTTTATAAAGGTTTTTAATTCCTTCTAAAAACCTTTAAAGCAAAGTATAGTAGCTTTTTAACAAAATCCCATCTGCTTGGCAGCTTCTTTTGTGGCTGCTTCTTTTGTGGAAGATTGTGTAGATCAAATTCCTCACACTCTGAGTGACGAGTGGAAGTCCTCTCAAAAACTTTCAACTTGCATTGAGGCGCTAGCGTTAACTTCCCTTCGTTCTTCACATCAAAGTATTTGATCGTCAACTCTCGCGATTTAGGGTTGGGCTTGTCCTGGTCATAGTGTCCCATTGGAAACCACCACTGGCAGGGATACTCTATGTTGCCCCACAACCGGAACTTGTAGTACCGAAGATTGGATCGAACAATTGCTTTCGTGACAAGAGTGTCCTTGGAAAGCTGGCCGACTTTAAAAGGTTTTTGATAGTCCACATGTTGAGGATTGACGTATTTCAACTCCAACTCCTCCACGGGCTTTTGGGCATTGTCCTTGCCATAGAAACTCACAATTGTAGATACCTCAAATCCAGAGAGAGGTTTGACAAGGATGAATCTCAGCTTGGTGAGCTTGAATCTTGCTTCTCGACCTGTTTTACCCAAAAACTTCCACTCTCCATCTTGCTCCTCTTTCCCAAATACTTCACACTCAAGATTGTTGGTGTTGGAAGAGAATAAAATCCTCTCCACTTTCATTACCCTTGGGAGTTCTACAACTAATTCTTTGCTACGTCCCATGAGAATCCTATCAAACCCTAATTCTTGGAACTGTTATATAGAAGTTTCACAAAAGGTAGCGAGGTTTCGCCTGCTCCGGGCAAGGGTGAAAGAAATTCACAGGACTTTGAGCAGCCACCATAGCTCCAATGTTTTCCTTGTGGGGCCATGGGACGTGATGATACGACATTATGCAGCTGATGGGAACTTGGATCAAACCCAGGAACTGTTTGATCGAATGCCCGAGAAGAATGTAGTGGCATGGACTGTGATGATACCCACACAATGTTTTCCTTGTGGGGCTTTGATCGCAAATTAGAGTTGTTTGACAGGAGAGAGAAATCTGGTTTTTTGGGGTGCTCTGATATCAGCCTATGAAGCACACGACTGGCTGGAAGGAGCGAAGCGTTTTTTTATGCGATGGAGAAACCAAACATTTTGTGTGTACACTGCGATGAACACTGCATATGCCAAAGCTGGGGTAAATGAAAATGCCTAGAGGATGTAAGCTCTCATGCCTGAGAAGGACGTAGTCGCTCAGACTACAATCGTTTGCTCACAATGGTGTTGTCAAGAAGGCAACGAAGATCTTTGATGTAATCCTTGACAAGGATGAAAGGAGCATGTATGGGAAATGCCGTAGCCTGCTGGACGCCGTCACAGTCTTCGTCCGAGCCGACTGCGATGATCACGGCCTTTGGAAACAACCAGCACTGCCGCGAGGCCATCCAAGCTCTCGCTGGAATGGACTTGGAAGGCGTGGAAGCCAACCATGTCGGGGTCACTCCTCTCGAAGAAGCCAACCAGGCGAGCCTCCACTCCCAGAAGCTTTCTCGTCCAGATGTTTGCGAGGTGTGGATCACTGCCCAGTGCCGAGGCTGTCTTTCGGCAAATCCCTCCACACGTAACTTCTTACGACGCCATGGTCGCGGCCTACCCTCGAGCCGGTGAGGCCCAGGCGGCCATTCGGACATTCGAACTCATGAACAGTGAGTGACAAAAGCCCCGGTTGATTCGTGCTGCAAGATCTCTAGCTGAAGCGCCCAGCTCACAAACAATCCTCTCCCGCCAGTCCTGCTCACGAAACCTTTGTGGAACTCCTCGTCCATGCCAAGAACAGAGGAAAGGAACCTTGCTTGCCTCCAATCCCAGCGCAATCTCCTCGATTTGCTTGGCAGTCTTTTGCCTTTTGCCGCTTCCTCCATCCCGGATCCGAACAAAACCTTCTCCACGTCCACTTTCGTCTCGGGCACTGGTGACAGCACCTGGCGAGCTGAGCTCCCGACTAGGTTTCCATCCTTCACTTTCACAGCATTTACACTGAGACGTCGAGCTCTCAGTAGCTTTCCCCAAACTCTCCTGTTCTCTGTTGCTATGGAGCAATCATCCTTTCTCCCAGGGTCACACTCAAAAGCATCGATTCCGGAGGCTTTTGGCTGAGCGTCAAAGCCGCTTGTTGGAGCAGTGCGCAAATATCCTTGTGGAAGGCCTGTAAAGATTCCTGCTTCTCTAGTGTCACTGGCGGAGAATCTTGTGCTGGACGTCTGGACAAGGTGGTGGCGGGGTGGAGTGTGTGGTGGCGGAAGCGATGCTGGACTAGGTGGTGGCGGAGCTGGAGTGTATGGTGGTGGCGGAGTTGGCGGTGATGGGGATTTCTCTCCACCATTTGCCCTCGTGTAAGTTCTCGCTCTTTCCTCTTTGCTGAATTTTCATGAATCCATTGTTGTGATTTTTGTGGTTCTTCCAGCTCACAAGAATTTGTCATCTGATCAAACTCTCATGCTGGATTTGGTGCTGTGGACTGTCGATGATCCGCCACCAGTGCATCTCTTCGTCACCTCCAAGGACAGTGATCTCTCTAGTGCGTTGCACTCGCTGCGGATGAAGAACTACAACGTTCTTCTGGCATGCAACTCTCGTGTGGCCTTTGCCACAGCTTCGGCAGTATGGCAGTGGGGTAAGCTCGCTAGAGCAGAAGGCCTGGTAGCACAGACAATCGTGAGCAGCATCCATCGCTCACCCGGGAGTTTTTATAAATTCGTCACTGCCACCATCTTCTCCTCCACTATCATTTACGCTGCCAACGCTACTTTTACCTTTGTCTGCCTCGTTCCACAAGCGAGGCTTGCTCCACGAGGTGGACACGCTCATCAAAGCCATGAAAGCAGCGGAGATTGTTGTAGGATTCCTGGCCTACATGTTTGGTGAGTATGGTGTAAACTGTGACTTCTGGTTTAAATCTTCGGACCTTTGCTTTGTCTAACATCATAGGTAATAATCATCACTGCAAATGAAAGTCCAGTCTTATGGCAATAGATGGCAGCTCTGGAGCACACAGGATTCCACTGGAGATATGGCATCTTTGATAAACCCTAAACCCTCGCAAGATAGGAAGCTTTTAAGCGCTGGGATATCGCATTTGGACGAGGAGATTCACAATGTAGACGTTGTTCGTAACATGTTCCTTCAAAAGTGTGGATCTTGCAAGCATTGCTTAGATCTTTGGTGTTGCCACACCACAGGATTCCAAGGCATGGCAAATGCAGGAGCTCTAGTGATGCACGCTGCATATTTGACTCCATTCGTGCCCCAGACTCCTTTTCATGGAAAATCCTGCTCCAAGATTACATTCATAATCATCAGCTTTGCACGCTTTTTATTCCGTGCCCGGGAAGAATGTAGTGACATGGAATGTTGGCAAATTACGTCGCAAGGCTTGTTTTTGATCGAATTCTAGTGTGGAACGTAGTTTGCATGAGCTACCTTGTATGCTATTGTCACTGGATTCACAATCTCTTTGATTCAATGCCTCAAAGAAACCTTGTCTCGTGGACAGTTTTCTTAGCATGGAATGTTATGATCACTACATATGCCAAAAGAGAAGCAAAGTGCTTGTTTGACACCGTAGAAGTTCTAAAGGAATTACATTATCAGAGTGTATGGGCAAAATGGACACTTGGACGAGCGCTTGGGCGTTGTTTAGACTGTTTACAGCCAAACATCGTGACCAGGAACGTTCTTATCGTGTCATTTACCCAGAATCTACATGGTGATCTGTCCATTCAGCTTTTTAAAGTCTTGAATCTGGAAGGATTCAAGAGTTTCATGGGCCTTTCGATCGTTTGCTGCCACCTTGTGCTGGTAATCCCTACTAGAGACACACTAGCTCCAATGGTTTCTGACTACAATCTAAGTCCCAAGTGAGATCACTATTGCTGCTTGATCAGTGTTCTTGCGGGCTCTTGGATGATGCTGAGGAGATCATAAATATAATGCTATTAATTCCAGATGTTTCCAATTGGGGATGTTCGTGATTTCCTGTAAGATCCACTCTGTATAAGTTGAAAGGAGTGTTGGTGCTGCTTGCAATGCCATTGTGATTGATCCTAAGCACAAATATTATTCCGTTTT